TGAATTTTTAGCTATTTTTATAACATGGAAAAACTAGTTTTAGAAAAACTGCAATTGCACACAGAAGGATGATAATAGTCATAACAGGTTCACACTGCCCCTACATCTAAGATGTGGCGATTGTCAAAAGCTGTGGTCCAAGCTCTGGGGCACTGTCTTGCATTTCAGCTACAAAACTGCAAATCAGTAACTAAGATGCACAGTAAAGTGAAACGATAATGATAATAATATCCTAACCTAATCTCCTTTCTGCAGAAGAGGATTTGGTTATTTTGGGCTGAACAGGCAGAACAATTCTCCAAGTCTATGTATCTAACTTTTTGTCACCACGTCCCCCTAAGGGCAGGATCCCAGGCAAAGGTGGCACAGAAAGCTCATGATGCTTCAAAACCAAATGCTACTGAGCCAGTTCAGCAGCAAGGGCTCCTGCAGAGCGGGGCAGAAGTAGAACACCATCAGAGCATGTCAGAATAGTGAAAATCTGAATGAACACAATGACAATGACACCACCTCTCCTACTGCTTCAGGTAGACAGTGGAACGACTACAGTCTCAAGTAACACACGACTCTAGCATTTATTTGCCTGTAAGTGGGTTAGTGAAGCCTCCCGGATGTTGCTTCCTCCTTTAGAAAAACGGGCATAATTAACAGCATCTACAGAATAGGCTTTAATAACATGGACAAGGCAATGCCACTCATAAAGAAGCTTAGTGTCTCATACTTTGAAAACAATAAATGTCATGTGTAGGCCATGAAATGAGAAGCGAGAACATGGGAGAGAAGGAAGAACTCGCAGGGCTGGACCAGGAAGCTGCAGATGCTTGTGACAAGAAAACGGAAGCGGGGAGTCTATTCAAAGGGAAGTCACCAGCAAAAGGAGGACCCAGGAAGATGGGAAAGCAATTGGGGCTAGTGGGGGAGAAGGACAAAGTAAGAACCAAGCATGACCCCTATATATGAAAAGGCCACAACAGAGTCCATTTTTCTTTATGCTAACTTTAAGTCAGCTAAACAAGGGGAAAAATAGATGTCAATTGATGTTTCATAATCATTACTGCAATAGCTTCCATGTCAGACCTGTTCAGTCTATAGAGCTATACACGTAAGCTGCAATCAGTAAACGGTCATTTACTTTCCTGTACTGGGACAGAGTTGTGAGTTTCCACTACATCGTGAACCTGTTTGAAGTCACCTCACTAGAGAGCTGCAGGAGTTGGCTTGGTCCTCCTGACACAGGAGAGATCCTACTGTAAATGGAAGGTCTGCCCGAGGTTGCACAGCCAGAAACAAGTAGGGAAAGGACTCGAGGTCACACTGTCCAACTGATACTTCCTGATTCTTCTCACCAAAACACCAACTTCATAATATTTTATTCAAGCAGTGCGACTCTGACTGGGTTAGCCAGGAGACTGAGTACACAGGGCGTGGGCCCTGAGGCCCAGACCCGCTCTGGAGAGATAGCCACGCAGATTGGAATGAGCTGAGCAGAGTGTTGTGATGACACCCACATCAGGGACTGACATTGTCACCCATGCCTGGACATAGGGGTCCTCCAGGGTGACTGTTGTGAAGCTAGGCAGTGCTGGTGCTCCCAGAGAAAACTTCCGGGTTCCCATGCCAGAGATTACCGCCATATCTGCCTGGCTGGCTCCTCCATTAAACCTGCCCATGAACTGCTCTTGCTTTTTTTCTTCCTTATTTTATCCCCACTAGAACCAGATTTATCTTATCCCCTCCCCTGTTCTCCATCATCCTGCCTGACTCGGTCTGCTCCTCTGACTCCAGATAGACAATTTTGACTATTGAGAGATAGATAGATAAATAGATAGATAGATAGATGATAGATAGATAGATAGATAGATAGATAGATAGATAGATAGATAGATAGATAACCAGCCAGCCAGCCAGCCTGGATAAAGATATTTTGCCATGAAAACACTAAAATACCATTACCCTACCAGCCAAAATAATCTCTGGAACCAAAATCTTCTATTATCAAAGCAGCTTGGGGGGAGGTTTATTTTCAATTATTTGATTTTAATTGGCAAAAATTATATATGTGGTACAATGTGTTACACTCATATATGTACATATTGTATAATTATTAAATAAAATAACATATCCATCAGCCCATGGTGTTCTTTTGTAATGAGAACATTTAAAATTTCCTTTGAGCAACATTTAAGTGTGTATTAACTGCTAACTGTAGCTTCCATTCTGTACCGTCAGTTCCTGAGGAGCCTTTCCTAACTCAGTTCATAAGTTTTGTCTCTCCTGTCAGATCCAGAAGCAATGGGAACTATGGCTCTCTATCCTCTGCAAGACACAGAGCACCGTTGAGGGCTCGTGCCGAAAGACAACATGAACGAGTTCATTTTCCCAGACCCAGCTTCTGGCTTGTGTCTGGAGCAGTTTTTGACCAAGAAATTGCTTGGACTGAGATAATTACTCAAATAATTTTTTCAAAAATAATTGGTATGTCTGGGGTGTAGCTCGGTGGTGGAGGACATTCCAGCATGCATGATGTCCTTGGGTTCAATCAATAACCATGAAAAGAGAGCTTAATTTAAAAAAAAAAAAAGAAAAAACAAGAAAAAAAAACCTTTGTTACTTACGAAATTAGCACTATTGTAAAAATCTTTTTTTTTCCCAGAAAAAGTTCTTAATTTTCCACTTCAATCTGCACGCAGAGGAAGGGCTTCAGAAGACAAAAGAAATTCTCAAAGTCTTCTTTTAAAAATTAAAATCTGTGTTCAGAGGGTAAGAGGGAACTGCTTTAAGAAGAGTTTTAAAGAAATTGTTATGGTTTTAATGTCACTGTAACTTAATCAGGCACCATCTGCTCTTGCCCAGCCGGCATTGTTCCTGAATTTACTTCTTGTCTATGAATCAAACGACAATAAGTCAAGAGCGAGTGCTCGGAGCCATTGGGAAGACAACGGACTATGAAACCGAGAAGCCCTGGGCGAGGTTTTCAGAGAACTGTTCCTCTGAACAAAGGACGGATCCTGATGGCTGTTGCAACCAGGATGGAATCTCACTTAGTCACGTGCTTTCTCCCATCCCGGAGTTCTAGCGTGGGCTGAGGGAGAGACAGCCTCATTTACACAAGCGTCTCTACCCTGTCGCCGGGAAGCGCCACGCCCAACCCTCCAGATCCCACTGAACTTCTTCCTCCAGTTTTCCTCGAAGAGTTGTCTTGCCTAGGCTCTGCGCTACCCGTACTCAGAGATGGCCCCATCAGACCACATCCGCTTCAGCCGCCCTGCCCTGAAGCCCTGCGGTGAAAACTGCCCGGTGGCGGCCATGGGATGACCTAGACAGCTCTAGACGTCTAGTGTGGCTGGAATTCTACTGAATACCATGACTGAATCCCTGCATTTAACCAAAGGAAAACTGTTCGTGGAAAAGATAGGTTTCTGTGAGATGTAATGGTTCACGTAGGTAATCTCTGCATGTAGAGGCCGCGGCAGTGGGATCACAAGTTCCAGGTCATCCTAGGTTTCACAGTGAGATCAGTTTCAAAATAAATAAAAGAAAATACTGAGATAATGTCACACACATAAACAAATAAAAAATAATAAATAAATAAATAAATAAATAAATAAATAAATAAAGATGTGTATCTTGATGAGTAAACAGAAGGTTGAGCTTCCTAGTCAAATAAGCCTTAGAAACACACAGGGTCTGCAGCTCCCTCTGAGAGGCTCACGGTGCAAGCTGACATAGGGACGGTGACCAAAAAAGGCCTGCAGTGAGGACCCTGTGGCACTTTCTTTAACACAGGAAGCCCTAGATTTACTGGGCTACAACGTCTTCCTAGTCATACCTTTTCATATTGGAACGAAGCCTAAGGAATGTGCGAAAGTACTCTTCATTTTGAGTCCAGTCCCAGCAGCTCCGGGTTCCCCTGCCCAGGGATCACTGTTCAGAGAAGACCCTGCACAAGTGTTAACCTAAGAATGAGGGGCTTCCTCTTTCTGTTAGCCAACCTGACAGAAACATGTTCTGGGGATGTCACCATCGACACAGGAAAGCAGTTTTAGAGAAAGCAAACATTTTAACCATATATAGCCATATATTATTTATTAAGCAATTTGCAGCCGTGGGCACGCAACTGATTTTTACACCCATAGTTCTATATACAAGAAGTAGCAAACAGGGTGATTGCCAGCCAAGCCCACAGATATTTCAAATCAATTGTTCTTGTTACAGTGATGTTTTCTTCTGTTCATTTTTAGATAATTCAAGCTTGTAGAAATAGAAAAAGGTGGAAAACAAAGCTATGGGAAAATTTACTATTATTCAAAAATACTTATCCTTTATTGAAAAATGAAGCTTACTGCAGATTGGCTATCTTTGAAATCACTAAGGACGTATTTAGAATCTTACTTAGCACTGTAATTTCCCCAATAGCTGAGAGTTAGTTTTCCACATTACCATCATATTTACTATAAAATAAGATTTGAATGCTAAGTCCTGAAAATACACATACCAAAGACGTCTAAAATCTCTGTTTGAGTAGAGATAAAGCATCTAAAATAAAGTACATAAAGCATCCTTTTAAGCATCATGCATTTCTAGTAATTCTACTGAAATCTGTTGAGGTTTATGAATGGAAAATTCTGATACCATGTAACTGATCCAGACTTTACAGCATCAGCTGCACTTAACATTTTAAGACCCATGTTCATCCACAAGAAGATCAACACTAATCCAAATGCAAATCTCATGGCTTATTTGATTTTAACTGAGGTCCACAAATCCCTAAATGTGCAATATTCTACCCTGTCAAAACACAGCTAGGAAATGCATCACACGAATATAATCAGAATCTCAGAAAGCACATCCCTGGCTCTCCTCACCAACTCAGGGGCACCAGGAGCCGGCAGCGCACTTGGTGAACACTGGGTGTGAGCCTGGGCTTCCTCCCCACTCACTCCACTTCAGTCACTGGACACAACGACCACGTTTTCCAGGAGCCCTGTGGCAGTCCTTACCAGTGTAGATGCTGGCATTGGAAGCTGGGATACCAAACTGGGACTCGATGAACTTGGGGATGAAGGTAATGAAAGCGGTGACAATGGCACTCTCAGCTGTGTATGACAAACTCACAAAAAGGAATGTCATGTTGCTTAAGATCCTGACAGCTGCTCTTGGGAGGTCTACAAAATGACAAAAATGATACATGAATGTTATAAACAATGGATGGGAAACAAAAGAAAATTGAACTTTTTTTTTTCTTATGAACTGAAAATCGTCCTCGGGCAGCAGACAAAAGCTCCGATGATGTTTTTTTTTTCTTTCTTTTTCTGTTTTGATATTTTTGGAGACAGGGTTTCTCTGTGGAACCTTGGTTGTCCTGGAACAGATCCGCCTGCCCCTGCCTCCCCCCAAGTGCTAGGATTAAGGGCGTGTGCCACTTCTGATAACACTAACACCACTCCTGTTTTCAGAGTTGGGTTTCTTAATTCTCAACCAGGATAATGAAGGAAATAGCATCTAAAATCATTCCCAGACACAAATGTATTCATAAACAGCATCCAGTCTATAAAATTATTTGCATTTTTATTAGTTAAAACACATTCTCTGTTAAGACCATATAGGTTCTTCAATATGAAAATTACCTGTGGTCTAGTCCTACATCATAATTTCCAGTTCACCCAGCTACCATCATCCTAAAAAAATGTATTTTTCTTTTTTAAAATTCAATTTATTGTTTACTGTGGGGTGTGTGTGTGTGTGTGTGTGTGTGTGTGTGTGTGTGAAAGAGAGAGAAAGTTCACATATGCATAAAGGTATGTGGGTGTCCTAGAAAGCCAGGAAAGATACTAGCTCCCCTGGAGCTGGAGTTACTGGTGATTATGAGTAACCCAAAGTGAGAGCTGGAAACTGAATTTAGGTCCTCAGAAAAGTCCTCAGGAAAGCTGCAGGCATGAAGCCATCTCTTAAGCTCAGAGGTGGCATGTCTTTGGTGCCACACCTCAGATGCCCAAAGCAGGGCAACAGATAGATGATGTTGTGCATCTGAAATTTCAGCCTTGTTTATGGAACAGGAAATAATCATAACTAAAGAAATGGCATGTTTGGGTGTGTACATGCTATTCCTTAGCATTATCACAATATGATAGCACACAGTAGGAATGAGCCTACCCATCATGCATCTCTCGGTTTCTAAAAGTCATTTTCTACTGAAAGGAACAAAAAAAAGTCTGACTTCAGAGTTAGATGAGAGAAAATACAAAATGAACTCAGAAAATCTTACTGAAGAAGAGAGTGATAATGATCACTCCAATGGACAGATTCCCCAACTTTGAGCTTAATGGATGCTAAAAGAACTATGTGAAAATCAAACAGGAACAATATGTATCCAATCCTCATTATTTGTAGATTTTTTTTTACTAGTCAATTTAGCTATTTGCTAAAATTTCCTTGGAAGCCTAAAGTTACTATTTGAAGCACGTTCACAGCCACACTCAGCAGGAAACCCTTGCATCATCCCATTCTCCTCTCCTGGCAGAAGTGGCAAACACAGTCTACCTCCTTCCTGCAGCTCTGCCATGGTAAAGTGGGTCTTCATCACACTTTTCTCATTGTGCTTCTTGTTGGTGATTTTGCTTATTTAAAAGGTCCCTAATATCAAGCATTGGTGGCACATGACTACAGTGCCAGTCCTTAGGAGGTTAAAATACAAGAACCACTGGTTGAGGACCAACCTTATTTATACAGCAAGACTTTACCTCTATCACATAAAAGGGGAAATACCTAGCCCCCAGGTGGTGGCCTGTGGTGCCATGATGAGTGAGCTGAGAAGAAATACACACATCAGAGATGCTAATACAAGGCATGAGTTACAGACATTTGGCATGACTTCAAAGTTAATGAATCAACAGCAGTCATTACATACAGACATTTAAAAATGAAGTCATGTACAGATGAGCTGTTGAACACATCATGGCGGAATCAACCCCGTGTATCCTCTAGAAACAGTACTTCCATGATCATTGATTTGATGATCGCGGTGACGTCACAAAACATAATGGCTGTGAAGAGGGGGAGTTTGTTGATCTTATATAGCCTCAAATTATTCCCCCATAGAGCCTAGGCAGTTTGGATGCTCACCTTACTAGACCTGGATGGAGGTGGGTGGTCCTTGGACTTCCCACAGGGCAGGGAACCCTGATTGCTCTTTGGGCTGAGGGAGGGGGACTCGATTGGGGGAGGGGCAGGGAAATGGTAGGCGGTGGCGGGGAAGAGACAGAAATCTTTAATAAATAAATAAATAAATAAAATTATTCCCCCATAAGGCACTTATGCAATATTTATTGATTTTATTGCAGTCTACTAGTTAACTTTTGGATGGAGCAACCTAGAAAATGCAACCTCATCCAGGGATTAAATAGCTAACCTACCAGATTATTGGACAAATTGATACTATCTGACTAGTTAGGGTGTAATGAGCATAGCATCATTTTTATGCTAAATTTTAAAGAGTACATAAATCAGAAGACAGTGTCAAACCCCAACTAAGGAATCGTCTGTGAAGACAACTTTTGCCTATGATTTTAAGAAACAGTCAAGATCAGAAAGATGAGGATCTGCCCAAGACTGAAGAAGACCCCCAAACTAAATACATGCGATTCTGGATTGGGCCTTGAACATAAAGGGCATCTTTGGGAAGACAGGACTGTCTTAGATAATGGGAATAATTCACTGTGTATTTCTTATTTTTGATGGTTGCCCAGTGGTCATGCAGAACAGTGTCTTTGAGCTTAGAAAAAACACAGGAGGAGTGGCCAAGCATGTCTCCGACTTCCAGGGTGATTACTGTAATTATTGGAGACTCAACACAGGGCACCAAGTAATCAGGACTCTGTGTGCCTTCTTGCGGGCTTTATGTGTATGCCCAAATTTATTTCAAAAGCATAGATTCAAAAAGAAGTTGCTCAATCTGTGGATGTGCAACCCAGCATCTAATTCATTTCTCATGCTACAGAATTTATTTTAGATTCATTTCTTGGTGCCATGTATAATGTGTTATTATACAATCAAAGATGCTGTTAAGATCATGAGAGAGAGAGGTATTGAGTAATGATAATAACGACTTTGTGTCTGATCATTTGATACTATGAAATTTTTCAAGTTCAGGGCTGACAAGACAACCCAGCAGGTAAAGAAAGGTGTCTACGAACAAGTCAAATTCAGTGTTAAGGAGAAGCCAACACTAAAGCCAGGAGATGCCTTCTATGTTACATAGAAGTAATGTAGGAAGAAAAATATAAGGCAAAACTCAAGCAAATGTGACAGAAAGTGGACAATACTTAAGAAACACTTGCAGCCAGGCCTGGTGGTATATGCATTGAATCCCAGCACTCGGGAGACAGAGACAGGTAGATCTCTGTGAATCTGAGGTCAGTCTGATCTATATATTGAGTTCTAGGTCAGTTAGGGTTATCTAGTGAGACTGTTTTTCTTTTGCTTTGTTTGTTTGTTTGTTTGTTTTCTGTTAAAAAGAAAGAAAGAAAAGAAGAAAAAGAAAACACTTGTTAAAAACATATTAATGGTGTTGGCAGGTCCTTTGTTTCTTCCAGACCTTCACCAATGGCAGTCCGGCTGGTCCCACCACTACACACATCCAGACAAACAGATCAATTGCCTTCTCCTCACAAAAGGGATACTCTGAAATGAACCTGATGGGGTTCCTCTCAACAGCCTAGCAAATCTTTAGTCAAAGTTTTAGGAAACCTGAGATATGTGGTATGAGGGGGTTCCTGTGGAAATTGATAAGGGACTGATCAGTCCCAGGGTAGGTGGGACTACAGCTGGTTCTGCTCAGTTCCTGTGCAAGTGGGACAACAGCTGGTTCTGATCATCCCCAGTGCAGGTGGGACTCCAGCTGGTTCTGCCCAGTCCCAAGGCAGGTGGGACTCCAGCTGGTTCTGATCAGTCCCAGGGAAGGAGGGATTACAGCTGGTTCTGATCAGTCCCAGGGAAGGAGGGATTACAGCTGGTTCTGATCAGTCCCAGGGAAGGTGGGACTACAGCTGGTTCTGCTCAGTCCTGATGCAGCGGGGACTACAGCTGGTTCTTCTCCGAAGCCTTGTAGATAACAGACATTGGCATGCTCGTCATGACCCGACCATTAGGCAAGCATGCTCGAGCGCATATGAATGTTTTAAGTACGACTAAGGTCTGAAGCGTCTGTCCAACTAATGTTTGAAAGCACCAGGCTGCAAATGACCATCATCTGCAGCAAAGAAAAGGGGTACAGTTGTCTTTCCAAGAGGAAAGGAGAGGTCCTTACTGAGAGCTTATTCCTAGTGAGAAATATTCCCCTTTCTCGAGAAAACTATGAGTGTGTGTTGTGCTAGAGATCTCGCGCAGTCAGTATTCCCGCTGAAGTCACAGTGTTTTTTATCGTGTGCCTACAGCACTAAGACATTCTTAGAAAGCATCCATTCATTAGTACGCTTTATTACGTCACAACAGCAATGCATACTAAAAAAATCTGTGTCTGAGAAAATGAAATGAATGACATGGATGCACCGTTTCCTTGTGGAGAACAGTGAGTTCAGAGAGCATGCGTGGTAAGGTGAAGGGGTCCGTGGTGCAGACAGTGGAGCACACTGAGAGCTAAGAAAGGCTGGTCCATAATCGTCTGGAGGGCAGATCTCTTAAAGCTGAGGAAACCCATCACTTTCTATACTAACCTACAAAATTAATTTTAACAAGAGAGAAAAAGGCTTAAAAATCCCTAGCAGATTTAGATAAGATTGCAATTAAAAATTCCATTAACACAATGGGTTTTTGATCCTACTGCACCTATTGGTTTTGTGGGGGCCTAGGCAGTTTGGATGCTCACCTTACTAGACCTGGATGGACGTGGGTGGTCCTTGGACTTCCCACAGGGCAGGGAACCCTGATTACTCTTTGGGCTGACGAGGGAGGAGACAGAAATCTTTAATTAATTAATAAAGAAATAAATAAATTAAAAAATTCCATTAACAAATAATTAAAATGCTACTGAGAGAACACAGTATTCATGAACACAGCATTTTGTTTATACAGCCCATAGATAGGGAGAGGGTTTTTTGTGAGCTCCAGTTGTAAGCACCTCTCTAAGCAGCAACCCTGGGATTTTGATATGCTAGCCAGAATCACTAGA